CGTGGTCCGCGGCCGTTTTCCCGCCACACTGAGCGGCGCCCGGCCGTTCTCCCACTGCGCCGCACCCGGCCTTTTTCCCACCGCGCCGCGCCCGGCTGTTCTCCCACCCCTGACGTGTGGTCCGTGGATGCCAGAACGGATTAACGGTAATTACATTGAACCTTATGGGAAAATTTGCTTCGGGGCGCGACCAAATTCAGAGGGCGGAACGGATTAACCGGATTTACATTGAACCCTATGGGGAAATTCGCGTTGGGTTACGACCAACTCGGGATACTCCCAGAGTCACGGAATGCATTAAGTTCGTATCCCGAGGTACCACTGTACATTCTATTAAAACATATCACATATTCATCTCAAAAGAAATGAAAAAGATTCCTGAAGAAAAAACACATTGCCTTCCACACATGCTCATCCAGATCTATGCTCATGGTTTCAACATTTTTTAATTAAATCCAACAGAAATACATGCACCCCTTTGAAATATTTAACTGTATGCTCCATGGTGGATGAATCCAGCTAAGTGGCTGCCAAAAATCTAAAAAATGCTAAGCAGGGTCAGATCTGGTTAGTTCTCACATGGGAGAAAGCTAGGAAACCCCAGGGTTGTAGTTAGACAGGAAGGAAGGAAGGAAGGAAGGAAGGAAGGAAGGAAGGAAGGAAGGAAGGTAGGTTTGCAAACATCATCAGCCATTATGGGTTCAAACGTGGCCATGTCAACTCAGGCATTTATACTAGGCTACTAACCCCCATCATTGTCCTCTCAGCTACCAGACCCTAGAAATTTGCCTGAGGTCTAGTATCTGCCTTGAGAAGCCCTCACAATGCAATGCCCCAGAAACAGAACAAACCCTTTTTGCAAGAATCAAGGATTCAGGGCGCAACCAGTAGGTGGCGCTGTTACATGCCAAGATTCCCAACCGTAAGGCATCTGAGAGACCTTTGGTGCTGACAACAATTTCTCATAATTACATGAGGGCACCTCAAGCATGCAGGGAAGACCATAACAGATGGAGCTGACGGGGTTCCGGCAAGGACATTAAATCCTCAACTGCAAACACGGTAAGTGGGGGGTGGATGAGGTTTCTGGAAAGGGCATTTGAGAGCCCCCACTTCTCAGAGCCCAGGCTAACCTGAATAAAACCAAGTCAGCTTATCTCCAGATGGATTCAGTGAAGCAGAGACTTGATGGGTGAATGACCTCTTCCTAGATCAAATGCAGAACATTTTGGGGAGATAGTCTCCATAAATGGTGAAAGAGGAGGACAAATGGGCTCTCACTGTTGCAAAACACACTTAAAGCAGAGCTTCTGGCGAAGTACAGTAGATCAAAGCAGGTTTCTGATTTCCTATTCTTTAACAGCAACGGATTTGATTTATTTCACCTTCATAATTACTCTATAATCCTTAAACACAAAAAGGTGAGGTTTCTCTATTACAACCAGACTATCTGGCAATACTTGCAAATATGCCTGGGATGAAGCATTTTGCAGATTAACTCTTATTAAAAAAAAAAAAAGTTTGCCAAATAACGGGTTATGGAGTAGAAGAGACACGAAACAATAAATGTTTCAATTACCTACCTCTGTTGAGCCTGTGAAAGCTATTTTGTCAACTTTGGGGTGCATAGAAAGAGCAGCCCCTGCAGTTGGTCCGTATCCTGGTACAATGTTGACTACCCCTGGAGGGAACCCTGCCTGAAAAGTAATGAAATGTTTTATTCTAGAGTTGCAATGAGAAAAAGCAGCCCATCTGAACTGTTAAGGAAGGGGCAGAAGTGAAGTGGATGTGGCAACAGTCCTATTTACTAAAACCGCCACCACTTCTTTGATTGAAATTCTATGTTGAGTTACCTGGAACTCAAGATTATTACTGGATTTACTTTTCAGCAGGCAGATGTAGGTTTGCACTGTCAGAAAAACGGATGCCTCTGAATCTGTAATGGGCTGTGGGAAGGACCTTGAGAGACAGGAGGAAGAGCCACAGACTGGACAACTGTCATGCAAAAGGTATCTCAGCCCACAGAAGAAAAAGGGGCGTCGGAAGCATCTCAGAAGGGACCTTCCCTAGTTTTCTGGAAAGTAAAAGTAAAGGGGGGGGGGAGAAATGTTTTGAGACTAGCAAGATTGATATTAGTCCTTTGAGGTAGTCCAGACAAGAAGCACAAACCACGACTACTAACACTACTTTTAGTGTAAGATTACAGTAACAGAATCTTGCAGGTCTGAAAGCACTTCACCTTTCCCTTACTTTTATTTATTTATTTATAAATTAAATTTATACACCACCCATCTCACTATCAGTGACTTTCCAGAAAAATAGGGAGGTTCCCTTCTGACACACTTCCCACATCCCTTTTCTTTCTGTGGGCTTTCCACGATGGTTGTCCAGTCTGTGGCTCTTCCTCCTGTCTCCCAAGGTCATTCCCACCTACCGTTACAGAATCATGGAGAAAATTGTGACGAATGTCTTCGAAAACAAGAACAAATAATTCAATACTAGATGAAGTAAATCCAGACCACTCACTGGAAACACTGGTAATGAAGCTAACATTTAAGTGTTTTGGACACATAATATAAGGAACAAGATTAGAAAATATCCTGATGCTTGGAAAAATGGAAAACAATCAAAATAGAGACTGACAGAAGACAAGGTGCTTAGCTACTATCACAATGACACAAGCAGGACCTTGCAAGTATTTAAAGAATCAGCGACAGAAAAACCTGGCAAAAAGATGCCCATTGGGTTACAAAGAGTTGGAAGTGACTGAACCACTACAACCATCAACTGATTTTAAAAAAAGATACAATTTAAAAAAAAATTAAACTCTATATAACATCTGGTGAAATATTCTGCTCCCCCCCCTTGCATATGCCTTTCTAACCATAATCTGATTGCATTTCATTCACGAATCCATTCACCCTCATTTTTAAAAAGCTTTATATCCAACCTCGTCAACAAATTTGTAGAGATTAAGTATATGTTTTGAACATATCTCCCATAAATATTTTTGCATCCCAAAATTTAGAGTAGTGCAAAATTTAGAGAAATTCACCATCATGTACTGGCTTGCAATTAGTTGTGGGGAGGAACAGTGTCACACACATCAGAATTCACAAAATAGAATTTCTTGAACATCCCAATCTATGAAATGCAGCCTTTATTTAAAAACAAAGAAGCCTTTACTCAAAAATCTATTTTAAATCCAATGAAAATTCCAGTAGAACTCATGATTCATCCATTAGAACAACTTTAATTAGCTCCCATCCCTCCCATCTATTCATTAGAAACAGTAATTGCTTATTCTTGCTTTCTTCTAAGAAGCTCAAGCAATCAGGTAGACTGGGCTGAGGAAGAGAAGCTTGCCAAAAGCCACTTGGCAAGAACACCCTATTGAACTGAATTGAGAGTTCCCCAAAGTTGAGGTGTTTCAAAATGCCCCATTTTGAGTCTGAAGTCATTGTTTTCAGTCCCAAACTGCCATGCCATATTTGAAATGGGCCATTCCGATCATTCTGAAGGTGTCGTGAGGCTGTTTCAAGCACATTTTAAATTTGATTTTGCCCACCTTTCATGGCCTTTATCCCCATTCTAATGGCAAAGGGACACAGAAAGTGTTCTCACGTTTGCTTCTGCAAAGATTGTGATGTTCCAACTCTCCCATTCATTTGGATGGCTTCCAGATAAAACTGTAGGGAGACTGTGCCTTTCTAGGGACCCTCTGGAATGTGAGTCCTGAACCCCAGCAACCTTTCGCCCCCCTCCTCACATAGGCAAGTGGAGACAACATCACCCAAGAAGAAAGTATCCAGGCATGGCCTTAAGAATCCCACCCCTTCACTCAATCAACCCAATGGCCTGAGAATGGCCAGGTCAAGAAACCGACTCCATAGGACTCCAAGAATGCTACTTTATTGTTGTAAAGTATAGCAACAGAAACCTTGAAAGTCTGTCCAATCTCCTCCCTTATACTAAACAAATCATGGCGTTATTTTGACCTTCTTTCTCATACTTCCTTCAGTGTAATCTCCAAGACCCCCTTCATGGCTGTTTCATACCTTCTCTAAAAGCCAGCACTAAATCCTCGATTCATTCATGGCACTTACCTCCTTGACTAAAGAGCCAAGGTGGACTGAGGTGAGGGGTGTTTGCTCAGCAGGTTTCACAACTAAGGTGTTGCCGCAACACAAAGCTGGGGCCATCTTCCATACCAGCATGAGCAAAGGAAAATTCCACTGAAACAGAAAACGGTGACATTGAGACAGTAAACAGGATGTCCCTATCATTTTTTCAAGTTTTATTTAATTATTTATCATATTTCTATAGCTGCCCATCTCACATAAAAGTGACTCTGATGCTCTTCCTAGACAGCCGGAGAACGGAGGTTGCTCCCCGATATCACCAAGTCTCCCCGTTAAACCACCACCATAATGAATAGTATTCACCACTTCAGTTACATATTCCACATTTTAACATCCATGTTTATTATGACAGGTTTGTTGGTTGTTAAAAGGGTATAGAATTTATACATCCTCCTCTGAAGAACAGGAACTGCATGTTCTAACAGAAGCATATTCTTTTTATGGTTGTTATAATTTATCCCATCTCTAGGTGTTGCTGTGGGGCTATGTGCACTGATTTTTAGCCATAACTAGAGGAGAAGCAACCACTGGCTGTTAAACACTGACTTATAGACCCTTTTTAAAAAGTTACATTTAGGGAAGAGCTACTGTTGAAAGCTTTGTCTAGGATAAGCAGACCTAAAGGTGATTTCCTGGACACATCCATGTGGTTTTCTTGGTAGCAATATAAAAGTCTCTGTGATTACCATTTTTTTACTTCCCTGGCTAGCTGATGGTGGTCTCCCATCCAAGTACAATCCACCTTTCTTTTTTAAAATCAGCAAAAGTCAGCTATGGGCTGGCACATGTGCTCAGGAAGAAAACTACGGGAAACCAAAAGGGTCTAAAAAAAGGAGCAGTCCTGCATGTGTTGGCCAAGTAACTTTCAAACCTCAGTGATTCAAGTTGAGCTTTGCTTAAAAACAGTCAGTCCAGAGACATTCATGTGGATTTGTGTAAGGTACCTGCTGGACTGCATTTTCCCAAAATTTGCCCTGACCACTCCGATCATGCCTGGAGAATCAGCTGGCTGCCCACATTTCCAGGACGTAGAGGGGCATGGCATTGTTTTCTGGTGATGGGCATGGATCCCATTACAGATATGTCCGCCTCCAACATTATCTGCCTTCTGGAAAATGTCGAAGACAGAGCTTTGGGGCCTGATGCCATGAGTTGTGTCTGGGTTTTAATTGTCTTATGTTTCCTTACTGTTATTGTGTATGCTTATTTTGTGAACCACCAAGAATTGCATGATTGCAGCAGGATATACATTTAATTAATACATTAATAAAATAAATAGGTTGACAAGGGAAGAGATCTGAAGACATTCACGTTGATGATTTAAAAACACTCACAGAGGATTCACATTTTCTGTTTGGCGGGCAGGGGGAGGAACAGGTAGTCACTATTTGTTAAAAGGTTACATGATTGGCTTGCCAACAAGATCCACCAGAATTAATTCCTGGTATTTCTATTTAGAACAAGGACAAGGGATATGTAGCCCTCCAAGTGAAGTATGGACAATGTGAATGACACTGGAAACTCTCTGTGTGTGTGTGTGCGTGCGTGTGCACGTACGCCTTCAAGACAGTGTTGACTCCTGGCAATAAGTCCCTGCAGTTTTCTTGGCAAGGTTTCAGAAGTGGTTTGCCACTGCCTCCTTCCTAGGGCTGAGAGAGAGTGACTGGCCTCGTGCCTAAGGCGAAACCAGAACTCACTCTCTCCTGGTTTCTAGCCTGGTGTCTTACCACTACACCACACTGGCTCTCTGGAAACGATACAGTAACTCTAATCCCAAACCTAATTAGAAAGATCTCAGACAGAAACAGGAGGGATCCCAGGCTTTCTGTTAGAACATAGCACATTGTTCTGAACTAACTGGATGGTCCATAGCACGTTCTAAACTTCTCCTATCGGTAGAATCTCTTGTGCAGAGATCAAATGGGACATTTTTATTTTCCTAGAGACATCAGATGTCATATCTAGTCAAGTTTAATGTGATGCTGGCTAAACCCCAGCAGTGGTAAGGAAATATCCCAGAGTGGTATTTTATTCCGACAGCTGTGTAAACATTCTCAGCCTAGTTACAATCATCTTCTGCCAATGAAAATACCTGCTGTAGATTAAGGAGAGTTAATTGCTAGCGGCAATCTTCCCCTGCAGCGTAATCAACAGAATGGGCCATGATATGCTGGGATTAACCATTATGTAAAATAAACTACAGAGTAGCACCGCAACCACCCCAACATTCCTGCTGTGGCATAATTAACTGGGAGTTTTCATAACACAGAAGGGATAACTAAGGCCCTCTGAGCCCTGGACTTTTCATGATTTCCATCAGATCTGGATATATAGGAACTTTCCCCCACAGAGAAAGAGGAGAACTCCAACTACAATGAGTTTATTGCAAAGAAAAAGTATTGGTAGTTTGTGCTGGGGGTCTGTTTAAATTACTGTAAATACAGGCTGGGTGAAGTGCAATGTAGCTTGTTTTTCTCCTAGCGTGGCGTGTGAACCTAGATACTGTGATTTGTAAACTACGGTGGATAGCTCTCATGGGCAATCCACAGCTAATATGTGGTCCCCAAACTTCTTTTTTGCGCTCCCAGGATCAGATCTTCTAAAGCTGGCTGAAGTGAAGTGAAGTGAAGATGATGCACTCACTGTTCAGAAACCTAAAATGGTTGCCGGTGCTGGTTTATGGCTTGAACCCAGCCACTATGATTTACTCACTAACAAGCTATGACTTAGTGCAAAGTATGAGCAAACATGGAATTGCAATCTTAAGCTCCACCCTCCCCCAGAAAAATCAGGAACAGAATTCTTTAAAAGAAAGTCCACTTCAGTGAAAGCAATTCATTTCCACATAACTACTTTTGGGATTTAGGAAAGGAGACAAACTCCTATCCAATCCAAATATGGATCAGAACTGTTCTTATGTCCAATGGCTATTTTGACACCTTCAATTCTGCAAGGACGAGGTCAGCCTTTGGTGTCAGTGGGCATCTACTGGCCCTTCAGCTGACTTTTGCTTTTACATCTTCTTGCTGACTTTTGGCAACTCTTGATTATTTTCCTTAACAATAGCAAAGCAATTGAGCCAACATCCAAGTTATGTTGGGGAGAGAGGGAGAGATATGAAAATGATGCCGTACTAATATTTGGCCAGCCACTCAGTAACTTTCACCAGAGGAACAGCTCAACCCTAGAGTGGTTTAAAAAAGGTCAATTTTCCCT